TAAAGTGATATTAATCACTTCTTGACCGCGCTATAGCCGAATGACTTTGGACACAGCTGATTACATGTCACAGTGAAGGGCCAATCACAGTGGCCTTTTACCACGTGGTCAGATGTGTCCAATCACAGCTGATCACAATGTAAATACAGTGCCTTGAAAAAGTATTCATGGAAAGAGTACGGCACAACTGCAAACCTACCAAGACAAGGCCATCCACCTAAACTGACAGGCCGGGCAAGGAAAGCATTAGTCCTCATCCACACTGGATATTTTTACAGCAGCTGGTTCTTGCTTTTTTTTCTACAGACGTTTTTAGGGTGAAAAAAAAAACAGAACTAGTGGGATTCTAGAAGAGTTGTTTAACTGTAAAAACGCTCTAAAGCTGAAAAACGCGGTAAAACGCCGCAAACCGGTGTTTGTGGACATTTTTATCTAAATCTCTACAAAACGCTAAAAAGCACAAACACAGAAAAACATGGAAAAACGCAGCTAATTGCGGCAAATGCAAAAAAGCTAAAAAAAGCCAGAAAAACATTTTTAAATGCGACTTTACACAGCTAGCGTTACCATCGTTATCAAAACGTCACGTGTGCATGAGGGCTAACACTGAAAAGCGTGGTAAAACGTGGTAAAATCGTGGCAAACCTGTGTTTTTGGACTTTTTTTGACCCCGCCCCCCAATTTTTTTGTATAAAAAAATGCTGAAAACTGCAAACATGAAAAAATGCTGCTAAACGCTAATGCAAAAACGTAAAAAAAAAAAAGCTGAAAAACTCACGTTTTTAACGTGACTTTACACAGTTAACGTTCCCAGTGTTATTAAAACGCTTTTCTGGAGATTTTTGGTTTAGATTTGCCAAAAACCATATCATAGGAGGTCAAACCTAACAACACTTTCAATTGTATCCAATTAGGTAGGCTCTTGTGCTACATAGTTGAAGGTAAATCTAAAGGAAATTGGACAGAAATGTGTAAGAAAATTGTATAGTGTATGGCCAGCCTTAATCAGAGAAGCAACCAAGAGGACCATGGTTACTCTGGAGGACCTGCAGAGATCCACAGCTCAGGTGGATTTGACAATTTCCCTATAAATTTAGACCATCTTATGGGGGGAGATCACTGATGGGGGCACAGTCACTGATGGGGTGCTGCTTTTGCGTGAGTGCTGCATTGATGGAGTGCGAAGAAGCAGTTGAACACAGCAGTTGAACTAAAGCAGGAGAACTCAAGCAGCAGGAAGATACAACAACAACAAGAAACTACTGCATGCTGGACAGACTGTAAGCAAACACCCCGGGAAACAACTCTTACAAGTCTGAGTCCCACTCCGTGTACCTTTTAATATGTTCCCTCTACTCCTCCTTTTTATATTACTTTCCTGCGTTCCCAAAATCTCACTTCTTTATCCCTCTGCTCCACCCCAAAACTTGTATTGTGCATCTCACCCTCACTGCTACCATCACCCTACTACTGCTCTAATCACCTCCTGCTGATACTTTACTCTCCTGCTGACCCAAACACCAGGACTGGAAGGCATGTGCGCTCATGTACATCCCGCTCCCATGTTACTTTCCTCACCTTCCTTCTTCTCCTAATTCCTGGGGATATCTCCCCAAACCCTGGTCCTCCACTACTTCACCCCCACACCAGGCATCCTCTTTCTTCCGGGAATAGCCGCAAACCCCTAAATTTAATATCGGTCCCTGTGCTCCCAAGAACCACCATCCCTTTTTCATGTTCGCTCTGGAAGGTCCACTCTGTCTGTAATAAGCTCACCTCCATCCATGACCTTTTTGTCTCCCGCTCCCTTAACCTACTAGCAATTACAGAAACCTGGCTCCAAGCAGCAGATTCTGCTTCCCCCGCAGCACTTTCCTATGGAGGCCTCATCTCACACAGACCCAGTGGTCGGAAAGGTGGTGGAGTTGGTCTGCTTCTATCCCCACTCAGCACCTTTGAAGTGCTCCCTAACCCTCCCTCTCTATCCTTCTCTTCTTTCGAGACTCACTGCATTCGGCTGTTTTCTCCCATTTCTCTGAGGATTGCAGTGATCTATCGGCTTCCTGTCCCGCTTTCTTGATGATTTCTCCGCCTGGCTACCCTACTTTCTCTCCTCTGAACTACCCGCTATCATTCTCAGAGATTTTAACATCCCTATTAATGTCAACAACTCGGCTACATCCCAATTCTTCAACACAACCTCATCTTTTGCTATGGCACAATGTATACAGTCCTCCACTCACTCTGATGGGAATACATTAGACCTTGTTTTCTCCAATCTTTGCACTCCCTACAAACTCACAAACACCTCCTTTCCTCTCTCTGATCACAATCTCATCACCTTCACAGTGTCCTCCTCTTCAAACACCTATCCCTCCAAGCAGCAAACAATTACCCGCAGAAACCTTCACAACTTGAACCCTGCTCCTTTCCACTCTGCAACTGACCAACTCTATGACAGAATCTCTCCATTGTCCTGCCCTCACCTGGCCACTGCTGTCTATAACAGTTCGCTTTAATCCACATTAGACTCGCTTGCTCCTCTAACAACACAAAGCATCAGGCCCCGACCATTACAACCTTGGCAGACTGACCACACCAGAAATCTTAAACGACATAGTCGTGCGCTGGAGCGATTGTGGCGTAAAACCAAATCCCACCAAGCATTCACCCTATATAAATCTGCTTTCTTAACATACAATTCCTCCCTTCATGCTGCCAAACAAGCCTACTTTGTCACTCTTATTAATACCTTCTCATCCAGTCCTTCTCTACTTTTAACTCTCTACTTTCTCCACCTCCACCCAGTACCTCAATCACTGCTCACGAGATTGCAAATCATTTCAAAAACAAGATTGACGTAATTCGTAGGGGCATCACCACTGCACAGACATCCATCCCACTTTGCATACCTTATACTAAACCTCCCTCAACACTTTCCTCTTTTGACCTCGCTACTACCGAAGAGGTCACTAAGGTTTTCTCAGAAGCCCGTCTCACTACCTGCCCCCTGGATCCTGTCCCCTCACAACTACTACAGTCACCCTCTTCTTCCATCCTATGCTCCCTCACTCACATCTTCAATCTTTCCCTCTCTACTGGTGCCTTCCCCTCCCCTCTAAAGCATGCCCTACTAAAACTCACTAATGATCTACTAACTGCTAAAACCAATGGCCACTACTCTGTACTCTTACTACTTGACCTCTCTGCGGCTTTTTATACGATTGACCATCCCCTCCTCCTCAAAAAACTCCACTCTCTTGGCCTCAGAGAATCTGCTCTCTCCTGGTTCTCCTCCTACCTATCGCAGCGCTCCTTCAGTGTTACCTATAATGCTGCCTCCTCCTCTTCACTGTAGGGGTCCCTCAAGGTTCTGTCCTTGGACCCCTTCTTTTCTCCAACTACACCTCCGCCCTTGGTCACTTGATAAACTCCCACGGCTTTAAGTACCATCTCTATGCTGATAACACACAAATCTATCTTTCTACTCCTCACCTCACCCCTTCAGTCTCCTCTCGCATTACTAACCTACTAAGTGACATATCAGCATGGATGTCACTCCAATTCCTCAAACTCAATCTTTCAAAACTGAGCTCTTAGTATACCCCCCAGCCCGTGCCTCCTCCCCTGACTTCTCTCCATCAAGATCAATAACACAACCATCAGTCCCTCCCCTCATGCCAGGGTACTAGGTGTAATCCTAGACTCCCATCTGTCCTTTCAGCCCCAAATCCAATCACTGTCCAAATCTTGTAGACTTCACCTCCGCAACATCTCCAAGATACGCCCGTTCCTAACCTCTGAAACCACTAAGCAACTTATTCACTCCGTGTTATCTCTCGCATTGACTATTGTAACTCCCTCCTCATTGGCCTACCTCATCGCAGTCTATCCCCTCTTCAGTCTGTCATGAATGCTGCTGCCAGACTCATCCACCTTACTAACCGTTCTGTATCTGCCACCCCTCTCTGCCAATCCCTCCACTGGCTTTCCATTGCCCAACGGATAAAATTCAAAACACTAACAATACCGTATAAAGCCATTTATAACTCTGCCCCAAATTACATCACCGATCTTGTCTCTAAATATCACCCAAACCATACTCTCCGCTCCTCGCAAGACCTCCAACTCTCTAGCTCCCTTGTCTCCTCCTCCCATGCTCGTCTCCAGGACTTCTCCAGAGCTTCCCCCATCCTCTGGAACTCTCTACTCCAATTTATTAGACTATCGTCTACTCTGCTCACTTTTAGGCGATCTCTGAAAACCTATCTCTTCAGGGAAGCCTATCCTGCCCTCAGCTAATACTGGAATTTTCTACTCTTCCAACCAGTCCATCCTCCACAGTTACTACCTTTTGTACCACTAGCCCCTCCCTCCTAGATTGTAAGCTCCAAGGAGCAGGGCCCTCCTTTCCCTCTTGTATTGAACTGTATTGTTGCTGTATTGTCTCCCGTTATATTGTAAAGCGCTGAGCAAACTGTTGGTGCTATATAAATCCTGTATAATACTAAAAAAAATAATAATAATCTGTCCACAGGACAGCTATTAGTCGTGCACTCCACAAATCTGGCCTGGCTCTAATGCTGCTTTGCTGTTACAACTTGTGAGTGTTCCCGGTCGGGCTGCTCTCACTGTGTATTGCTGGACTTTTGTTACAATATATTCCTGTGAAAATGAAACTTTAGGCTCCCTAACCCCCCCCCCTTTTTAACCCCCACCCTCCTGGTTGCAGGTCCTGCACACTGAATGTACTCAGCCGCCCAGTGGATCCAGCATTGTCCTGCTGAGATCCACTTTTGATCTGCAACCCCCCCCCCCCCCCCCCCCCCCCCCCCCCCCCCCCCCCATGGTACCGCGCCATCTCTTTTGTGATGTCCTCGGTAAGCTCCCAGGAGGCAATGAAGGCAAAGTGCGTGTTATTGGCCTAGACAAATGACGTGCACAGGGGGGCTAGCCAGGCCTTTTTTTTAACAAAAAAAGGACAAAAGAACCCAGCCCCAATTTCTGCAGTGGAGGCGAGGAGGGGTGGATGGGAGGCAACATGCCCTGGAGCAGGGGTGTCAAACTGGCGGCCCTCCAGCTGTTGTGACACTACAAGTCCCATCATGCCTCTGCCTTTGGGGGTCATGCTTGTAACTGTCAGTCTTGCAATGCCTCATGGGACTTGTAGTTTGGCAACAGCTGGAGGGCTGCCAGTTTGACACCCATGCCCTAGAGGGTGAAGTTCTGCTTTAATATACCCAATTCTAAATACAGTGCTCTGCCCCTTTAAAAAGTATTCAATATCTGTGCCATATAGTATAAATCGAAGCAATAATTAGCTTTTTTTTTGAGCTTCAGCATGTAGGTGCAGAAAAACATTTTTTTTTTAGTTTTTTTGTGGTGTTTTTCCAGCAGAAAAAGAAACGCTAAATGCTTCTAAAAGTTGCTAAATGCTACTAAAATGCTCCTAATAGCTTTTTTCTAGTTTTTTTGTCTCTACATGTACTGTAAAAACGCTAATAAAACGCTAACGCTCCTAAACGCTTCTGAATGCTACTAAACTGCTACTAAAAGACACACTAGTGTTTTTCCCAGCGTTTTTTGAGCTTTAAAAAAACCCCACTAGTGTGCATGGAGCCTTATAGGTAAAATGAATCAAATAAGTGGGTTAAAAAAAGATAATATACAAAAAAAGTGTGTCAATTTTGAAAGTCCTTATGGCTCCATTCACACCTATGCAGTTTGCTTTTTGTCCGTTTTGCAGTGTTTTACTACATGCATTGTTGATGCGTTTTTGACGTGTTTTTAGCGCATTTTGTTCAGCTCTTTTTTTTTATTTATTTTTTGTTACAGTGGAATTTTTTTGGCTGCTGGGCAGAATAAAAACGCAAAACGCAGCAAAAATGCACTACCATGCATTTCAACAGCTTCTTCATTGAACTCTATTGTAGCAAAAATACTGCTTTTGCTTTTAAAAAAGTCCCTGACCCTTTCCAAAAATGCAGCAGCTCAAAAAAGCTTAGATGTGAACATGTTCCATAGGAAACCATGTTAAATGGACTGCAGTGCGTTTCTGCAAAACGCACTAAAAAATGCATTGGTGTGAACAGAGCCTAAGTGTTATGCAGAGTCAGCCAGGTAGACAGAAAAAGGTGCTCCAGAGACCACTCTACCAAAGGGTTCTCTTCCCTCATCCCTTCTCTAGACTAACACACTGACTGGAGACTGCACTGTCCACTGTTGACTCTTTCCTGTGAAGACTGGAAGTTCAGGGAAGCAGCACTGAGAGCAGGAGCTGGCAGCATTGAGGTTCACACTTGTGCAATGCAAGACACCACATGTGATTCACACAGAAATTGCACCACATTCCTGTGCAAATCACATGCAATGTCTGTGTGGTGCAAGTTGAGCCATACATTTTGTATGGCTCAAATTGCATCGCTTCTGTGCCAAAAAGATGCAGGACCCTTTTTTTTCCACACTTGATTCCCATCGCATGGGTGTCCACACTGGAAATTTCTTGCAATTGCACTGCATTTTGCGATCTGTTTCTGGGTGTCATTAGTTTAATATTGACACCCATACCAGATCGCATGGATGCTGTGCGATTGGAATGTGGTGCGGAAAACGCACAGGATTCGCTGCATTTCCTGCACCGCATTAGTGTGAACCAGGTCTGAAAGATGTAAACTGCAAGTGCTGAGGTATGAATTTTAATAAAAAGTTCATGTTGGAATATTTGTTTATTGAGCTCGATGTGGAGATTGGGGACTTAGCCTCGGTTTACATATCGGCCGTGCGGGCCTCGTTTTGCATGGGCACGAGGGCCCATTCATTTGAATGGACTCCCATGCCCCGTGACACACAGGGAAGAAGTCCCTGCACTTCTGAAAATGCAGCCAGCACAGAAACCTCAGTTCCCAGTACTGCTGCGTTTTCCAGTGCGGGCGGCATGCCATTAGAACTAATGGCACCCTCCCACGGGTCCGCATTCCTCTGTGCGGGTGGTGCGGCTGCACGGATTTTCGTGCGGATCTACAGAGGCACCACCCGCACATATATGAACCTAGCCTTAAATTGTTACTAGACCCCGGACCCTGCATTCACTATATCTGGTCTCCCACAGTACAGAGAACATGGAAATGCAATTATTTTAGTAAATATAAACTGCTAAATACATCGTTACATAGTTAGTCTGGCTGAAAAAAGTCAAATGTCCATCCAGTTCAACCAAAAAAAAAAGCATGCTAGTAAAAGTTACAATATTTATTTATATATCAAGGTACTTAGTTACATAGTTAGTCTGGCTGTTAAAAGTCCATCCAGTTCAACCATAAAAAAAAGTTATAATCCTACACCCACAGTTGATCCAGAGGAAGGCAAAAAACACAGCAAAGCATGATCCAATTTGTTCCTGCAGGGGAAAAAAATTCTTTCTGATCCCCCGAGAGGCAATTGGATATTCCCTGGATCAACTTTACCCAGGGGCAGACTGACCATTCGAGCACTCGAGCACTGCCCGAGGGCCCGGGGTCAGAAGGGGGCCCCATAAAATGCCCATAGTACCTTTTATAGGCTCTTTTGGATGTGTTTTGAGTGTGGGCAAGGACACAGGGGCCCCATGATCCCCAATTGCCCGGGGGCCCCATGAGTTGTCAGTCCGCCCCTGACATTAACTATAAATGTTAGTATCCAGTTATATTCTGTGTATCTAAGAAAGAATCCAGGACTTTTTAAAGCAATCCACTGAGCTGGCCAGAAACAACTCTTGAGGGAGTCTATTCCACATTCTCACAGCTCTCACTGTGAAGAAACCTTTCTGTATTTGGAGATTAAATCTCTTTTCTTCCAGATGTAAAGAGTGCCCCCTTGTCCTCTGTGATGACCTCGGGGGGAATAACTCTACACCGAGTTCACTATATGAACCACTGATGTATTATACATGGAGATCATACCCCCCCTTATGTATTATACATGGAGATCATATCCCCCTTATGTATTATACATGGAGATCATATCCCCCCTTATGTATCATACATGGAGATCATATCCCCCTTATGTATTATACATGGAGATCATATCCTCCCTTATGTATTATACATGTTGATCATATCCCCCCTTATGTATTATACATGGAGATCATATCCCCCTTATGTATTATACATGGAGATCATATCCCCCCTTATGTATTATACATGGAGATCATATCACCCCTTATGTATTATACATGGAGATCATATCCCCCCTTATGTATTATACATAGAGATCATATCCCCCCTTATATATCCCCCCTTTATACATGGGGATCATATCCCCCCTTATGTATTATACATGGAGATCATACCCCCCCTTATGTATTATACATGGTGATCATATCCCCCTTATGTATTATACATGGAGATCATATCCCCCTTATGTATTATACATGGTGATCATACCCCCCCTTATGTATTATACATGGTGATCATATCCCCCCTTATGTATTATACATGGGGATCATATCCCCCCGTAATGTCCTCATCTCAAGAGAGAATAAATTCAGTTCCTCTAATCTTTCCTCATAGCTGAGCTCCTCCATGCCTCTTATCAGTTTGGTTGCCCTTCTCTGCACTTTCTCCAGTTCCCCCATGTTCTATTGGTGCCCAAAACTGGTCTTTCTAATGAGTTATACAGGTGTAAAATACTTTTTCGCATCAGCAGTTAGAGCAGTCTTGTGACTTCTATCAGTGTCTAGCAGAGCACTGGTTAAAACCTGTAGGAGGAATTTTCATTTTGCTCTAGGAGGATGCAGAACCCCTGACCTCTGTTTGGACAGTGCTGATTGGCCCTCTGCTGATCACATGCACTCTCCCAAGAAAAAAAAAACCCTCTCTAGCCATACACACTAAACTGAGCATGTGCAGAGTGTCTCCACATGATATGTCTTATCAAAAGATAAGAGGGGGACACTGGAAGAAGGGGAGGATCAGAGAAGACAGGATCAAACAGCATTTTTACACAATGCAGAGGATTAACCCCCACAGTGAGTATAACAAGCATGCTTTACCTCATATACAGACAGATTTTACTGTTGTGGGTTTAGTAACACTTTAACATTACTTCAAGCCAATCCAAAATTGTAACCAATCAGCAGAACAGGAGTCCTTTGTACTCACTTGCTGCATGATTGTTCAGGGTCAGAGACCTATAATGTACTGAAACCAGAGACAGCCAGGCGAGCAGTGTTTTCAGAAGCAGGTCAGGCCCGTTAGCCTCCTCCAATATTCTCTATGATACAGAGCGTTGGTATTTTGATTGTGGATGAGAAGACTGTGGAACACATTAGGCTCAGGGCAAAGGTATCGCAATAGAAGAAGCAGACGCTGAGACGCGCCAACTGAAGGCGGACATATCCCAGGATGCCGCCGGTTAGGCAATAGAACGCTCTGCAGTTATTTAAAATACAAAGTCATTACTCACATGAAAATCACGCATCTCAGAGGGCTGGGTTCGTGCATGATCCCCATCTCGCACGACTTTACTGCGCTCTGGAGACTCCTGACATGCATCTCCTGCGGCTCACATGCTTAAAAATAGGCCCTTATTTGATTTCCAAAATGAGAAACAGCTTATTATTTTTAAATTTTGAAGCAGCGAGAGACACGGCTGCACAATCCCGGGAGTGTATTAAAATTGGATGAATTGGAACTATGTAAAGTTTACGCTGATCTGATCTGTCATGGAGCTCAGCAAAGGGCAGTTAAAGGAAAACCCTTCTGGAAGGGAAGAAATATTTCTGTAATTGTGTTTTCCTGTAAAGCAGAAGTTTGTCTTTCTTTTATATTTTATACCCGGTGAATTTTATGGGTTTTTTTTTTACTTATGTATGGTCAGGGGCGTCCCTAGGGTTGGTGTCACCCAGTGTCGGAACACTTAGTTCTGCGGATTGAGCATAATGGATCAGAGTCCGATCCATTATCCTTCCCAATCCGCAGATCCGACCCATTCTGCGGGGATCGTCGGCTTGTAACCTATATGGGGTTAACTGATCTCTGCATGAGCTCCACGAAAAGGTAAGTTTTAATGCAAGCCAACGATCCCCGCAGGATGGATCGGATCTGCGGATTGAGCATAATGGATCGGATGTCTGATCCATTATCCTTCCCAATCTGCAGATCTGACCCATTCTGCGGGGATCGTCGGCTTGTAACCTACAGGGGCGGACTGACAACTCATGGGGCCCCCAGGCAATAGGGG